CCCCGCCGCGAGCGCCGCCGAGCCGGCCAGCGGCCCGCCCGCTCCCTTCGCCGCGCTCTCATTGGCCGGCCTGGCTCGTTCTGCCTTCCCATTGGTGCGCCTCCCCGTCGCTCACCCGCCGCCTCCCGGTGTGTCCCCGCCGCACCTGTCCGCCGCGCCCCCTTCCGCCCTTAAAGGGCCAGCGCCCCCGCTTTTTAAATCACCTGATGAGCCAGCTCGGCTCATCCAAAAACTGCCCGAATCGCGCTGTCCCTGCCCCGGCGTCCCCAGCCGGGGCTGTGGTTACATTTTGTCATAATTAGCATTTCTAATTGATTTCTGCCTTCGGTGACAGCCCTTGGGGGGACGCAGGGAGACAGCGGGGATGGCCGTGGGGACAGCAGGGACACGGGGGAGCCGTTTGTCCCCAAAACGCCCTCACCTGGGGAGGTTGGGGGTTACCCTGCAAGGGCGCGGCCAAATCTCTGCCCCCAAATGTGCAGAAATCACCCCAAAACGGGCAGCGCCGAGTCCCCATCCCCAGCAACCTCGGGGGAAACAGGAGCCCAAGACCCGGCAGTTCCCCGCTCCGCTGCTAAAACCTGTAAAGCTGCGTAAAAAATGGCAAGTTTGGTGGATTTCTTTGTGTTTCCCTTTATTTCTGCGTGTCCAGCGGGACCCCCCAAAGCCCACAGGGGGGAGGAGGAGGAGGAGGAGGAGGGATCCTTCCTCCACCCCATCGCTCTGCTCTATCCCCTCCACGCTCACCTCATTCCCATTAATTACAGAATCAACCCGGGTCGCGAGGAAGTGGCGGGTCCCTTCCCGAACTGGATTCAAGCCTCAAATCCTATTTTTTTTTTGCTGAATTTTTGCCCATTTTTTTGCATCACGCTTTATTCATGGCCCCTGTGGGCAGAGGCAAGAGCTGCCATCTTGTGCCATCACCACAACATGGTCCCCTTTGCTCGGGGGAGCACCACCTCCCAGTTATTATTATTTTTTTAATCATATTTATTACATTTATTATTATTTCTCTCCTAGGCCCGGGTCCATCAAGGCTGGAAAGCCCCGGGGAGCCGCTGCCGGCCCAGGCCCAGCCCTTCCTGGAGGCAACCGAGAACTTTGGGCAGAGGAACCGAAACCAAAAATCCCCTCCTCGCTCTTGGGGTCACCGAGGTGCCACCGCAGCCATGGCACCCAGCCTGTGGCACCGAGGAGCCACCACCCGGCCACAGGGGTTGCTGTGGCCCCAAAAACACCGTGGCTGATGCCCGTGGGCCACTGGAGAGACCCCATGGGCAACCTGTGAGGGCGTGATGGGGCTGAACTCTCCCGGGTCCCACCAAAATGCTTCTGCCCCGGCGGTGAAGATGAAGGTGCCCACGTTGGCCAACGGATATGCCATCCGTCTGTCAATCTACACGTCCGTCAGTCAGAGCTGCGTGTCCACCCATCAGGTCTACATGTGGTGGCCTTTGTGGCTGTGGTGGTCATGGGGGTGGCGGTGGCCCTGGTGGCCACGCTTGGCTGTGATGGCTGTGGTAGCCCCGGTGGCTGTAGTGGCCATGGTGGCTGTGGTGGACGTCATGGTTGTGGTGGCTGTAGTGTCCGTAGGCACTGGTGGCCATACTGGCTGTAGTGGCCGTGGTGGCCATAGTGGCTGTGATAGCTGTGGTGGCCGTATTTGTGGTGGCCATTGTGGCTGTGATGGCCATGGTGGCTGCGGTGGCCATGCTGATTGTAGTGGCTGTGGTGGCCGTGGTGGCCCTGGGTGGCCGTGGTGGTTGTGGTGGCCTTTGTGGCTGTAGTGGCCGTAGTGTTTGTGGTGGCCATGGTGGCTGTTGTAGCCGTGGTGGCCGTGCTGGGATGGGTTGGCGACAGGGACGAGGACAGGCAGGGGGTGTCAGGGAGGACCTGGTGGCCCCGTGCTGAGAGGGGCAGGAGGAGGACGGGGTGTGCGTGTGTGTGTGTGTGTGTGTGTGTGTACACACGTGTGTGTGTGTACACGTGTGTGTGT